GGGGCCTTAGTCTCGAGTTTTTCGTGTTACAACTCCCAACGTGTTGAAGGTGTCACGTGGTACCATCTCACACACTGACGTCAAATTGGTAGTCTCGAGTTCTAACTCACGTGCTTTCCCATCTCACCATGCGAGTTGCTACTCACGTTGAGTCGAGCATGTGAGATCGCTACACGAAAGTGAAAATGGCTGACGGATACGCAATTCTTATCGCTATCGAAGAGTTAGAAAGAGCCGAAAGACGTTGTTTGAGAAGGCAACGAATTTTTCGACCACAGTAGATGACATTTCTTTTCGCGTCAAGTCAATACTAATAAAAAAATTTTAATTCATAATTGATAAAATTATACAGCAAATTTTTCCAAAAATAAAAAGAAGTATCTAATTAATCGAAAAAGAGTATTAATTAAAATGATAGTAAATTATATGTATAAATTATTAAAAGCGTAGACACTATATTAAGATTATTAATCAGAAGTGTTAAGTTATAATTAATAAATAATCTTAATAGACAAAACAATTTAAGAAATAGATCGAGGAAGAAAACTGTATGAAGAAAGGATTAAATTAAAATACTTTTTCCATTACACAACGGATTTTTTAGATTCAACACACGCAATATATTTTTCAACTAATTCTCTCAATAAAGCGAATTGTCTTTCTTGTAAATTTGTTGTCAAATTTTCCACTGTTCATTTTCTTATTATTTTTTACATAACTAATATTTATTTTTGTTCTTCGCTTATTTTTTAAAATAAAACATTAGAGATTTTTATTTTGTTTCTGCGTACTATATTGCTATAAGACAACTTTTAACTGTAGCACACTAGCACGTGTAAACTAATTCACGTTGATTTGTTTACAACTTGTTACACTCAAGTTGATTGGTCGAATCAGTATAGTCGCAAACCCAGATGCATTGTAAATAATCCCATCATGCTTCACTACAAACGGGACCAAGTAAGTATGACGTATTTCCGCTCGCCTTTCAAGTTCGCTCGAAAGGTCTAACTCGAGACTACCGATTATGTGAGTCAGTAACACGAGTGAGTTCGATGACGTCAGTTCGAGTACAACACGAAAAACTCGAGACTAAGGGCCCGGGTCGGCGATTTTAAAAAGGTGGCAACACTAACACGGAATTTTTCATTACTTATTCTGGCCGCGTTTCTTTATGCAGCGCTCGAGAAGCGCTTTACAGCGAACCCTCTGAAACCCGTTTCTAAATGCAGCGCTGCAATGTAGCGAACCGTTTCTAAACGTTTGCTGCAAGAGGTCGCTGCAGCGAAGATAAAGCAGCTTTTACGTCCGCTACACGCAGTGGTGATATTCAGCGGGTTCGCACAGGTTCGGCCGAACCCGTTGTTAACATTTTCAAAGTTTTCCGAACCTTGTTAAACACATGTAACATTTCTCAATGGTTTTGATTCTTTTAAAAATATTAAAATATACGTATTATTCTCTGTAACACTACTAAACTAGAGCCTTCCGATGCACCATTTGAGCGAAAAAAAATTGTTAAGGAAAAATTTTCTGTTAGCGAACCCTTTGTTAAATGTTTCGAATGTCATCACTGGCTACACGTGTAAAGCAAAATGGACGCTTGTGTGTATAATACGATATTATGCTGTAAAAATAAAAAAGTCGAAGTGACTGTTGATAAAAATATTATGGAAAGATTAAGAAGGATTAAATTTTATGAAATGACTCTGAAAGTTATCTAAAGAATAAGAAAATACTATATTTTAAATATAATTATATATCTTTTATCTCTTTACTTTGTTCACATTTATGGAAAGATAAATGCTCGATTCTTTATATCTCTTTATTTAAATATTGTAGTTCTTTAACTAAAGCACTATTTTCGGCTGTAACTGGAATTAAAGGATAGATTATGAACGTCCATGTTTCGCTCGAGCGGAAAGCGTTTCTAAACTATGATGCAGCGACGTGTAGCGATAGCTGCTCGTGACGTCATTTACGCTGCACTCTCGCTGCATAAAGAAACGCAGCCTCTATGAAGAAACTGAATTTTAGTCTTTTAAATTGAGATACCTAAATAAGAGGGGGCGAAATTTCCCCCGCCCCGGGCGGCTGACACCCAGGCTACGCCACTGATAATATATTAATATTGTGCCCAACAAGCTAGAATATAGACTATCCTAGCTCGTCTGTTATGACATTTTGTTTAAAACTATTTTTATATTATTAATAATTATAAAAAGACAAAAGCTTAATTTGGAAAGTAGAGAACGAGTTTATAAAAAATTGTAAATGCAAATAACGAGTAAAATTTTCATTCAGTCTGATCCCATTCGAGATGGGATACATGACTTTCCTTCACTTATAATCTCCAAAATTTAATAGCATAAATGGTCCACATATAGAAATAACCCAATTAAGTTTCAAAATGTTTGGTTTATCCAGTCCTGAGATATAATCAAAATAGATGCCGACACATACGCACAGACATTTGGCAGCCGGACGGATGGCCCAACGGCTAAGATGGCAGGTTACAACTTTTGACCCGCGATCGAATCGGGATGAATTTTTCGGGGAGATGGTCCAGATAGTCTATCATCACACGGCTGTCTCATTGTGGGTCTAGCCGAAACCACAATGGGCTTAGCAAAAAGAGCCCTCTGAGTGCCAACAGAGTGGAAAGTAGCAAAAAAGCATACACACACGATTTTGTAAAAATTTTTATTTTACATTTTTCGGCTTCCGGAGTGTCAAAACGTCGCGTAATGAAAAAACCAGGTTTATCAAAATTTGACCGATTACTATATTTTTCCTATGTTATATTCTATTGATATAATAGCCGGGAAGTGGGCCGGATGGCCGAGCGGTGAAGGTGGCAGCCTACCGCTCTGGGGGACTCGGGATCGAAAAAACCGCAGGAATTTTTTTGGGGGAGGTCCGTCCGGATATGTCGGGCCCCATCCCTCACTTCCTCACCACCCGGTGGGCCTGGTCGAATCCATAATGGTTTTGCTTGCTAAAAAGTGACCTTCTTAGTGCCCACAGGGCAGAAAGAGTTTTAAAAAAATGCACGGGAAGTAATTTTATTTTGATAAGAAAATTTTAAAAATTATTTTCTAAATAAAACTGTTTGCATTATATTAAGTATTACTTTCTACAACCAGAAACTTTTAAATAACGTAATATTTGTTAGATTTTAATCTTTGATGATTTTACCTTTTTAAATTATTTATTTTGTAAACAGATCTGGCAACACTGATCTTATATTGCCGGCTCGTCCAGGATACAGCGTCGTTCCTGTTCGTGTATAATTTACAAAGAGAAGTTTTCAGTATTTCTCCTCAGTGACGCGAAAAGTAGTCTCGCCGAGAGGATTTTTATACAAAAAGCTGTTCAAAATGGTAAGTAATCAATTAAACTTGTAATATATAAGAATAATAGTACTTATAATGAATTATATGAATATCAAACAATGAATGAAACGTACATATTCCGTTGCACGTGCACCACGTGGTCTCATATAAGCTGCATGATGGACTCCATTAATAAAACTCGCGGCATATTTCACGAGTCAATATGGACAATTTCGATATCGCTAAAATTTTCATGATCATTTATTTATTTTACGTTTACTTTAGTTAAAGAAATCGATAATTTGTTCTAGTTCAGTTTTGGTTGTTTTAATGGACTGTTATTATAGATCTCGAATATCTGTATTGGAATAATTATATCTGAAAATTTCCTTCTTTTGTTGATAAGAATTTCTAATTTTCGATTTTCAAACAACAGTTTCAAATTAATCCAAACTGTAATCACACAGATATTAATAAAATGTAGTGTGTGTGTCATAGTTTAGGTTTTTGTAACTGCTTTTTATCACTAAGTTTTGTCTTTTCCCAGATTCATTTTATTGTCTTATCTTTGTTTTGTCTAATTCTCTAATTCTGGACTTTGTACTAATTTATGCTATTTGTTGGCAATGATAAAGTGTAGTTAGCTGTGCAGGCATGAGAATAGTAGCAAGTGAGAAGCTTGTATCACTGGCTGCATTCAGCAGACTCAACAATTCTTGAGCTGTTGAATGTGGAAATCCAGCAATAGTACTCCTTTTGCCTGTTTGATAGACCCTGCAAGATGATCTCCAAATCAGAAATGAAGCTTCTTGCACTAGTCTTGGGAGGAGGTGGTGGTGCAAATGCTGGTCCATATTTTGAGACTTCCTTCACAAAGGTTGGCAGTTGTAATTTTTTGTTGTATCTCGATTAAACAAAAGAATACGCATGCACAATTTTTTGGATTTTGAATTTTGTAATAGCTCTTTGAATCTTATATTCCAAAAGCTTATTGATGTTCCACCTAATAGAGTTTGAGTGCAAGTTACTCATGCGCTGCCCTGGTGGCAAATATTTACATACTCGTGTTTCTTTATGCAGCGCACGAGAAGCGCTTTACAGCGAACACACTGAAACTGGTTTCTGATTGGCCAATACTGCTCGTGACGTCAATTCGCTACACTCTTGCTGCATAAAGAAACGCGGGGATAACACATAACACATAGGATACAATGCATATGCATTGTATCCTATGTGTTATGTAAATATTTCCTATCCTATGTGTTATGTAAATATTTCCTATCCTATGTGTAATGTCCTATTATCCTGTGTGTCTTGTCTCAGATACAATGCAGACATTTTGAAAATTGTACCTAGTGCAGTAAATCGCTTATTGTTTTTTAATTTGTATCTGAGTTATAATATTAAGAATGAGAAAATCAAATGTAAATTGTTCTGTGTTTGTAAATTATCTATTAATTAAGGTTACATTACATAAATCATTTAAAGAAAATTATCCTGAAACAAGAGTAATCATTGACTGTACAGAAATTAAAATGGAAAAGCCATCATCAGTTCAATATCAAATTCAGTTTTATTCCTACTATAAATCTGCTTATAATATAAAATATTTCATTGGAATTGCCCCATCAGGACTTCAATGCAGCTTCCAATTATAAATGAGTGAATTTTTTTTATTGTGAAAACACTAAAACTATTTACTTAAATACTATTTACGATCACAGGTAAATAATAACAAAAAGTAGAACATTTGCATCTTCTCTAATAGTGAACAAATGAATGTCTCATCATTTTCCACTTTAAGAATTACAATTTGTTTATCACTATAGATAAATAAATAAGAAAATTGAATATTTGTTACATATAAAGCTAATTGGATTTTGTGTATAATACATGCTATTCTCTTTTAAATAAAGTTTAGAATTTTTAAACTTTAAATATTTTACAAATACTTTATTTGTCTTGAAATTGACAACTTTTTTTTATCTTTAGATGTGTAAGGGCATTTAATTTAGAGTAAACTTATTTTATCTCCATTTTTACTTATACCATCAGGGCTTGCACAAATCCGGGGAGCTTCATTACAAATGATAACTCCTGCATCAATTATTCTAATATTTTTTTAAGCGAAAATGAAGTTTTTGCAATTTTTTTCCAATTTAATTCCATAATCAGTTGCAATTGTTTCCTTGAATGTATTATTTAAAAATCTAAACACCAATTTTTCAAAATTGCTTTTTCTTGTTTTTATAGAATGAGCCATAGAGCTGCTTAATCTGTATTGTTTGTAAATAAACCAGTCTGGACATCTGCTTTGTTTTCTTGCGAGATAGGTTATTTGAGTAAGTTTTGAAAGTGTGATAATCACATTATCATTATAAAATTTTAACAATTTTTCTGAAGTGATAAAACTAAAAAAACTTAATCCATTTAAAAATGTTATGTTTGTAGGTAGTTTTTCAACAATTTTATAACAATTATTCATATGTTTACTTTCAAATAATGGTGTAATTAAAGATTTAAAATATAATTCCTCACATTGTTCATGAACTGTGTTGGTTAAATCAGATAGCAGCACTTGACATTGTGCATTTTCATCGAATTCAGCTCTCAACATTGAATAAAGAGCATAATTAATGTGTTTTACTCTTTTGATATAATAAAAATGTTGGTGTGTTTGATAATAACAATGCTGATATTTTTATCCTTTCTGGAATTACGCAATTACTAAGGTGATATCCATCTGATGTGTATATCTTATGTTGTAGAATTCCCCATTGTTGTTTTCCACTGGTAACACTTTTGTTTTTATAATTATTTAATGCAAAAATGTTGTTGCTACATGTTTACACTGACCATGGATATCTCCCTTGCACTTACATGTTTCTGTAACTATTTTTCTATCTGCTGATAACTGAAAATTAATTTGTATTAAAAATAATATGCAAAACATGTATGAAATATTTTTATTAAAGAAAAATTCAACAGTATATAGCTTAATAAAAGTAGCAATATACAATTTTATTGTCATGCAAATCATCCTGTTTGTTTATTGCAGAGAGGTTATGTTGACATCTAAAATTATTTAAAACTACAAATTAGCAATTTAAATGTAAAAAATGCCTTAATACAAATATAATGATTTCTCATTCATTTTCATTTGGAGTAGGCAAGTAGCTGTAACTGTACTTCCTCCATTGTTTTTAATTTCTTTAATTGCAGCTACATGCTTAGCCTTTGCAAGTAAATTCCTTTCTTCCATCTCAAAGGTGTAAAAAATTTGTCAGTATGAACTGGTTGAAAACCATGTGTTAAAATTATATCAGGCATTATTGACTAAAAGATGAAAATTACACTCCAGTTAATGAAAGTTTTATTTTTTAATTGTACATTTTATTAAAACATTTAAAATTTGGTAAGTTGAAATTGAAAAGTTTTACTTGATTTTCTGTACCAAGAAACCTTTTTTTTTTCTTTCTTTGGTAAGGGTTCATATAAAGAAGAAACCCTTCGGATTTTTCTCCTATGTATTATGTAAATATTTTCCACTAGGGTGGCGCGTGAGTAATTTGCACTCGGACTCTATAAATGTTGGAAAACCTGATGAAGTACTTGGAAGGAGTTAGAAAATGTTTGTTGTTTATTTGTATTTTTTACACTGGTTATTGGTTCTGTGTATGTTATTAATATTTAAAATAACGGGCTCATTAGATTGTTACTTCTGATTGGATAATATTGGGTTGTTCAGCAAGTAAGTTCATTTTTTTCCGTGGGAAAAAAAACAATATTTTTATAATAAATAAATATTTTATTGAATTATATATCGATCATTTTGGTCAAATATAGTAGCATGATTTCACATTCATAAAAGTTTTGATCATTGCTTACAAAAAACTGATCCAAGTGATTTTTGACATTGTCATTTCAAGTAAATGTCTTACAGTTAAAAAAAAATTTGTATAGACTGGAACAAGTAATAATCTGAGTGTGCTGATCTAGCAAATATGGTTGGTATGATAGCATGTCCCATCTAAGTTATAACAGTTTCTGATGAGTTACCAAACTTGTGTGAAATTTGACATCATCGTGGTAAAACACTACACCTGTTTTGTTGCTCAATTCTGGGTGCCTTTTCTGTTTGATGATATTATTCAATTTGTTTACTTGATGACAGTACCATTTTGAATCAATTGTTGAATTTTCTGGTAAAAGCTCCAAAAAGAAATTTCCTTAAAATCCCATCAAAGAGAGCATCTCTCTTTAAGAACATGTGGAACCCATATATTGAGCTTTGAAACGAAATTCAATTTGTTTCAAGTAATCATAAACAGTTCAATTTGACAAATTTAATCTCTTAGTGATTTCATGTGTTGTTATTTGGCAGTTTGCTTCAATCAGTACCTTTATTTTGTTTTCATTGGCTTCAACTGGTCATCCAGAATGTGGGGCATCTTCAATATTGAAATTGCCAGAACGAAATTTTGTAATCAGTTTTGGCACTGTCTTTCTCTCAACACATCGTTTCCATACATATACCACAATTCTTTTCTTGCTTGAACAGCATTTTGATTTTTTGGTAATAAAAAAGCAAAATATGCTGAAAATGCTGCTTTTGATCTTCCATACTTGATATGCAAAAAATAAACAATTGCTCAAAATCAAACAAAATTTTTTTACAAATAAGCCTTAAAATGCTAGCTGTCAAAATATATAATGATAATATGGTTTAGAATAAAAATGGCAGGAAAAATACGACTAGTGGTAAAAAAACGAACTTACTTTCCAAACACCCTAATAGAATGCCACATGGCCACTGTGGAAAGATTTTTTTTTAAATTTGTTACAGAAGTGACATGATACAGCTATCTTGTTTTAAAATTTAAATTTAATGAAGTTTAAAATATTCCATTTACCAAAATATTTAAAAATCGACTTAAGAGAAATTCCCTCATAGTGCATGAACGTTGTGTGATCACTGCAACATGATGATCACCTATTCGAAATCGATGAATTGTTTATTTTGTAGCTAATATTTCTGCAAAATAAGT